CACACACACCACTGCAGAACTTAATAAAGGTTTAAACATGTTGATAATATCTATCTATCTATAAGCGTGACCACATCACCTCAGTTCTGGCCTCACTGCTCTGGCTTCCAGGGGCAGAGAAGCATCCTCATGCTCTGGCTTCCAGGGGCAGAGAAGCATCCTCACTGCTCTGGCTTCCAGGGGCAGAGAAGCATCCTCATGCTCTGGCTTCCAGGGGCAGAGAAGCATCCTCACTGCTCTGTCTTCCAGGGGCAGAGAGCATCCTCACTGCTCTGGCTTCCAGGGGCAGAGAAGCATCCTCACTGCTTGGTCTTCCAGGGGCAGAGAAGCATCCTCACTGCTCTGGCTTCCAGGGGCAGAGAAGCATCCTCACTGCTCTGGCTTCCAGGGGCAGAGAGAGAAGCATCCTCACTGCTCTGGCTTCCAGGGGCAGAGAAGCATCCTCACTGCTCTGGCTTCCAGGGGCAGAGAAGCATCCTCACTGCTCTGGCTTCCAGGGGCAGAGAAGCATCCTCACTGCTCTGGCTCCAGGGGCAGAGAAGCATCCTCACTGCTCTGGCTTCCAGGGGCAGAGAAGCATCCTCACTGCTCTGGCTTCCAGGGGCAGAGAAGCATCCTCACTGCTCTGGCTTCCAGGGGCAGAGAAGCATCCTCACTGCTCTGCTTCCAGGGGCAGAGAAGCATCCTCATGCTCTGGCTTCCAGGGGCAGAGAAGCATCCTCACTGCTCTGGCTTCCAGGGGCAGAGAAGCATCTCACTGCTCTGGCTTCCGGTTCAGAACTGATTTTAAACTCCTTGTATTGTTTTTCAAGCCCTAAATGGGTGGCTTCCTCCTATCTGAACTCTTCCAGCGCTCCAGAGCCTTAAGGTTGCGGACAGCTGCTGCTGGTAGTGCCTAAGACCAGGCTCAAAACCCGAGGGCCACCGAGCCTTCGCAGCAGCTGGCCCCAGGCTCTGGACACCTTCTGCCCCTCCATGTGAGGTCGGCCCGGACCAGTAAATCTACACTAAAGACTCACTCTCTTCTCTGGCCTTCCAGTCGGAGCGGAGCACGACTCTTGACTTTTCCCTGTGTTTTTTATATATCTGTATTTATTACATTGTTCAGCACTTTGGCCCGACCAAAAATCTCTTTTAAATGTGCTTTATAAATAAACTTTGATGTGATTATCAGTGAGTGTGAAGAGCATAAAAACACTTAAAAGACGTTAATCGGAAAAATATTCCACAGGTTTGAGAGAGCTGCGTTAAAGTTGAAACGTATCCATACTTATTATTTTTTACTCACCCCTCCCCCCCTTCTCTCCCCCCTCCCTTCCCCAGTGTACTGTCAGAACTTCGCCCCTCACTTTAAGGAGAGCGAGATGACGTCATCGCGGCGGACATGTGCAACCAACGCCCGGCGGGTCCGTAAACGCTGGCTCCCAAAGATCCAGTCCCTGCTCCCCGACAGCCTCCCCCCCCACCCCACCTCCCCCGCAGGGCCCGGAGGGGGGGAGGTCCGGGGGGAGAGAGGGGGGAGGGGGTCTCCATGGAGCTGGACCTCCGGCAGCTCTCCTACCTGGAGGGGGGGGAGAGGGAGGCGCCTCACCTGCAGTTTGCCGGGTCAGGTGGGGGAGGGGAGAGGCTACAGACTGAACCCCCTCCTGACCCCCCCCTCTCCTCCTCTTCCTGCTCCTCCTCATCCTCACATCCCTCGCCGCAGCCTGCAGAGCCCGCCCTCCTCACATGGGATTGGCCGACACAGAAGAGAGGGGGGCGGAGCCTCTGGAAGATAGCCAATAAGTTTATATTGCATGCCTACCTGTATGTGCAATACACAATAGCTACCTGTCCCCACACCTGTCTGTCTGTCTGTCTGTTGTCGTGTCTGTGTCTGTCTGTCTGTCTGTCGTGTGTCTGTCTGTCTGTCTGTCTGTCTGTCTGTCTGTCTGTTGTCTGTCTGTCTCTCCTGTCTGTGTCTGTCTGTCTGTCTGCTGTCTGTCTGTCTGTCTGTCTCTCTGTCTGCCTGTCTGTCTGTCTGTCTGTCTGTCTGTCTCGTTGTCTGTCTGTCTGTCTGTCTGTCTGTCTGTCTGTGTCTGTCTGTCTGTCTGTGTGTCTGTCTGTCTGTCTGTCTGTCTGTCTGTCTGTGTCTGTCTGTCTGTCTGTCTGTCTGTGTGCTGTTGTCTGTTGTCTGTGTGTCTGTGGTCTGTCTGTCTGTCTGTCTGTCTGTCTGTCTGTCTGTCTGTCTGTCGTCTGTCTGTCTGTATGTCTGTCTGTCTGTCTGTCTGTCTGTGTCTGTCTGTCTGTCTGTCTGTCTGTCTGTCTCCTGTGTGTCTGTCTGTCTCTGTCTGTCTGTCTGTCTGTTCTGTCTGTCGTCTGTCTGTCTGTCTGTATGTCTGTCTGTCTGTCTGTCGTCTGTCTGTCGTATGTCTGTGTCTGTCTGTCTGTCTGTCTGTCTGTTGTCTGTCTGTCTGTCTGTCTGTCTGTCTGTCGTCTGTCTGTCTGTCTGTGTCTGTCTGTCTGTCTGTCTGTCTCTCATTTCATTTCATCTCAAACCTTTATTTACCCAGGTGTATCCCATTGAGATCATTGATCTCTTTTTCAAGGGAGACCTGCTCAAGTAGTTCCACATGAAACATAAAAACATAAACAGAACAACAAAAGTACATCATTCAGCATCATTTACATAACTATCCACATAAAAACAGGTACCAACAGCTTCCGATTGAGTCGCATCCAACCGAGCTTTAAAAACATTTAGTGGCACCAGATTGCCTCAGTTTCCATTTAATTTGCAGACTGTTCCAAGACAGAGGAGCTGCGCATCTAAAAGCTGTCTTCCCTAAGACAGCTAGCAGCTGGCTCATTTAATAAAACCACAGCATGCGATCTCAGGCAGTAGCCACTTACAATTCTCCGTGAGATCAGGGAGCAGATATAAGATGGAGGTTTACCCAACATGGCTTTGTATATAAAAAGGTACCAGTGACTGAGCCTCCGTACAGTTAGTGAAAGCAAACCAGCCCTTGCATACAGGGTACAGTGATGGGTTAATGCTTTACAGTTTGTGACTGTACAGAGCGCTGTGATACGCAGCATCTAACTTGACCAGGCAATGGGCAGGTGCATTCATATAGACCAGATCACCAGAGTCCAGCACAGGTCAAAGGTCACTGAGCCTTTTCCTGGCCTCAAGTGAGAAACAGGACTTGTTCCTGTAGAAGAAACCTAGCCTAACCCTCAGCTTTTTAAGCAGGTTATTGACATGAAGTTTAAAAGAGAGACAGTCATCAAGCCAGATACCAAGGTATTTGTAACAGGTAACCACTTTGAGTTGTATTCCTTGCGTAGTTACAATATCTAAAACAGGCTCACTCTACCTTCTCTACCTGTCTGTTTGTCTCTACCTGTCTCACCTCTCAAGTATCACAGTTGGAATCTGAATGAGACGCAGTCTCTCTGAACCTTCATCAGTCCTCTCTGAACCTCATCAGCTCTTGAACCTCATCAGTCTCTCTCTGAACCTTCATCAGTCTCTCTCTGAAACCTCATCAGTCTCTCTCTGAACCTTCATCAGACTCTCTGAACCTTCATCAGACTCTCTCTGAACCTTCATCAGTCTCTCTCTGAACCTTCATCAGTCTCTCTCTGAACTTCATCAGTCTCTCTCTGAACCTTCATCAGTCTCTCTCTGAACCTTCATCAGTCTCTCTCTGAACCTCCATCCAGTTCTCTCTGAACCTCCATCAGTCTCTCTCTGAACCTCCATCAGTCTCTCTCTGAACCTCCATCAGTCTCTGAACCTTCATCAGTCTCTCTCTGAACCTCCATCAGTCTCTCTGAACCTCCTCAGTCTCTCTGAACCTTCATCATCTCTCTCTGAACCTCCATCAGTCTCTCTCTGAACCTCATCAGTCTCTCTCTGAACCTCCATCAGTCTCTCTCTGAACCTTCATCAGTCTCTCTGAACCTCCATCAGTCTCTCTCTGAACCTCCATCAGTCTCTCTGAACCTTCATCAGTCTCTCTCTGAACCTCCATCAGTCTCTCTCTGAACCCCATCAGTCTCTCTGAACCTCCATCAGTCTCTCTGAACCTTCATCAGTCTCTCTGAACCTCCATCAGTCTCTCTGAACCTTCATCAGTCTCTCTGAACCTTCATCAGTCTCTCTCTGAACCTTCATCAGTCTCTCTGAACCTTCATCAGTCTCTCTGAACCTCATCAGTCTCTCTCTGAACCTTCATCAGTCTCTCTCTGAACCTTCATCAGTCTCTCTCTGCACCTTCATCAGTCTCTCTGAACCTTCATCAGTCTCTCTCTGAACCTCCATCAGTCTCTCTCTGAACCTTCATCAGTCTCTCTGAACCTTCATCAGTCTCTCTCTGAACCTCCATCAGTCTCTCTGAACCTTCATCAGTCTCTCTGAACCTCCATCAGTCTCTCTGAACCTCCATCAGTCTCTCTGAACCTTCATCAGTCTCTCTGAACCTCCATCAGTCTCTCTCTGAACCTCCATCAGTCTCTCTCTGAACCTTCATCAGTCTCTCTTGAACCTCCATCAGTCTCTGAACCTTCATCAGTCTCTCTGAACCCCATCAGTCTCTCTCTGAACCTCCATCAGTCTCTCTGAACCTTCATCAGTCTCTCTGAACCTCCATCAGTCTCTCTCTGAACCTCCATCAGTCTCTCTGAACCTCCATCAGTCTCTCTGAACCATCATCAGTCTCTCTGAACCTCCATCAGTCTCTCTCTGAACCTTCATCAGTCTCTCTGAACCTTCATCAGTCTCTCTCTGAACCTTCATCAGTCTCACTGAACCTTCATCAGTCTCTCTCTGAACCTTCATCAGTCTCTCTCTGAACCTCCATCAGTCTCTCTCTGACCCTCCATCAGTCTCTCTGAACCTCCATCAGTCTCTCTCTGAACCTCCATCAGTCTCTCTCTGAACCTTCATCAGTCTCACTGAACCTTCATCAGTCTCTCTCTGAACCTCCATCAGTCTCTCTCTGAACCTTCATCAGTCTCTCTGAACCTCCATTAGACTCTCACTGAACCTTCATCAGTCTCTCTCTGAACCTTCATCAGTCTCTCTCTGAACCTTCATCAGTCTCTCTGAACCTCCATCAGTCTCTCTCTGAACCTTCATCAGTCTCTCTCTGAACCTTCATCAGTCTCTCTGAACCTCCATCAGTTCTCTCTGAACCTCCATCAGTCTCTCTCTGAACCTTCATCAGTCTCTCTGAACCTCCATCAGTCTCTCTCTGAACCTCCATCAGTCTCTTCTGAACCTTCATCAGTCTCTCTCTGAACCTTCATCAGTCTCTCTGAACCTCCATCAGCTCTCTGAACCTCCATCAGTCTCTCTGAACCTTCAACAGTCTCTCTCTGAACCTTCATCAGTCTCTCTCTGAACCTTCATCAGTCTCTCTCTGAACCTCATCAGTCTCTCTCTGAACCTTCATCAGTCTCTCTCTGAACCTTCATCAGTCTCTCTCTGAACCTCCATCAGTCTCTCTCTGAACCTCCATCAGTCTCTCTCTGAACCTTCATCAGTCTCTCTCTGAACCTTCATCAGTCTCTCTCTGAACCTTCATCAGTCTCTCTGAACCTCCATCAGTCTCTCTCTGAACCTCCATCAGTCTCTCTCTGAACCTTCATCAGTCTCTCTCTGAACCTTCATCAGTCTCTCTCTGAACCTCCATCAGTCTCTCTCTGAACCTTCATCAGTCTCTCTCTGAACCTTCATCAGTCTCTCTCTGAACCTCCATCAGTCTCTCTCTGAACCTTCATCAGTCTCTCTCTGAACCTTCATCAGTCTCTCTGAACCTTCATCAGTCTCTCTGAACCTTCATCAGTCTCTCTCTGAACCTTCATCAGTCTCTCTCTGAACCTCCATCAGTCTCACTGAACCTTCATCAGTCTCTCTGAACCTTCATCAGTCTCTCTGAACCTTCATCAGTCTCTCTGAACCTTCATCAGTCTCTCTGAACCTTCATCAGTCTCTCTCTGAACCTTCATCAGTCTCTCTCTGAACCTCCATCAGTCTCATGAACCTTCATCAGTCTCTCTCTGAACCTTCATCAGTCTCTCTCTGAACCTTCATCAGTCTCTGAACCTCCATCAGTCTCTCTCTGAACCTCCATCAGTCTCTCTCTGAACCTCAGTCTCTCTCTGAACCTTCATCAGTCTCTCTCTGAACCTCCATCAGTCTCTCTCTGAACCTTCATCAGTCTCTCTCTGAACCTTCATCAGTCTCTCTGAACCTTCATCAGTCTCTCTCTGAACCTTCATCAGTCTCTCTCTGAACCTTCATCAGTCTCTCTGAACCTTCATCAGTCTCTCTCTGAACCTTCATCAGTCTCTCTCTGAACCTTCATCAGTCTCTCTCTGAACCTTCATCAGTCTCTCTGAACCTTCATCAGTCTCTCTCTGAACCTTCATCAGTCTCTCTCTGAACCTTCATCAGTCTCTCTGAACCTCCATCAGTCTCTCTCTGAACCTTCATCAGTCTCTCTCTGAACCTCCATCAGTCTCTCTCTGCACCTCCATCAGTCTCTCTGAACCTTCATCAGTCTCTCTGAACCTTCATCAGTCTCTCTGAACCTTCATCAGTCTCTCTCTGAACCTTCATCAGTCTCTCTGAACCTTCATCAGTCTCTGTCTGAACCTCCATCAGTCTCTCTGAACCTTCATCAGTCTCTCTCTGAACCTTCATCAGTCTCTCTGAACCTTCATCAGTCTCTCTCTGAACCTTCATCAGTCTCTCTCTGAACCTTCATCAGTCTCTCTGAACCTTCATCAGTCTCTCTCTGAACCTTCATCAGTCTCTCTCTGAACCTTCATCAGTCTCTCTGAACCTTCATCAGTCTCTCTTCAGTCTCTCTGAACCTTCATCATTCT